TTCCCGCGTAGGCCGCAGGACGGACCCTAGGCCAGACCGGGGACAAAGGGGAGCCTGGTCGCCGAGGCGCGGGGCCCGTCGTGCGGCGACAGCTTGCGGACCCCTCGACCAATCCTCCTCCGCCTCCTCCTCCTCCTCCTCCCTCCTTTTCCCTCCTCCTCCTCCTCCTCCCTCCCTCCTTCCCTCCTCCCTCCCTCCCTCCCTCCCTCCCTCCCTCCTCCTCCCTCCCTCCCTCCCTCCCTCCCTCCTCCCCTCCCTCTCCTCCTCCTCCTCCTCCTCCTCTCTCCCTCCTCCTCCTCCTCCTCCTCCCTCCTCCTCTCTCCTACTCCCCTCCTCCTCCTCCTCCTCCTCCTCCTCCTCCCTCCTCCTCCTCCTCCTCCTCCTCCTCCTCCTCCTCCTCCTCCTCCTCCTCCGTCGAAGGTTTATTTCCAAGACGCCGGAAATTTGGGCGCGTGGCGCGGCCCCAGCGTCCCATTCCGTGGCTGGGGAACTACACTCCATGTGCAGGCGTCAGCCCCCAGCTCAACCGAGTCAAGCAGGCCCGCCCAGCGGAGGAAGAGAACATACGCTATAAGCATAACCTTTTGGCGCTCCGCGCGGATTTCTTGATCTGCGCTGGACCCCCCTCCCTGGCGCGCGGAGCGCGCCATGGGCGGCGCCGGAGCTGCCGCCGGGGGAGCCCAGCGCGGATCCACGAAATCCGCGCGGAGCGTCAAAAGTTTATGTTTATGGCGTTTTCTTCGAATCAAAGCTGGGGTGCAAGACCCACAACCTCACTCTCGCCCGCAACCTCGCCCACAACCCCGCTGCGCTCTCGCACTCTCGCCCGCAATCTCGCCGCACTCTCGCCCACAACTTCGCCCACAACCGCTCGCCACTAACCTCGCCGCACTCTCGCCCACAACTTCGCCCACAACCTCGCCACTAAGTAAAGCCCCCCGCACTCTCGCCCACAGCCTCGCCGCCGCTGCTAGCCCCAGCTGCCGCCCTCCGATCGGCCACGGAGCCCAAAGCGACGGGCCCAGGTCACGGGGAGGGCAGGCATTTGCAAAGTTTTCCGTCGACAGCAGGGGGAAAACTCGTAATGGCCATCGTGGACCCCAATCGCATTAGCTGTGGAGGTGAAAAATGTGCTGTGTAAGCTATGCTGGTAAAAGCTATATGTGATGTGAGCAATGAAGGTAAAACTGTGCGGTGCTTGCTACTGTGCGGCGCTTGCCGCGTAGGCTATGTGGCGTAAGCTATGGAGGTGGAAACTATGTGGTGTCAGCCGTCTTCTGGTGACAGCGTTATCGCGTAAGCTATGTGGCGTGAGAGCTATGCAGGAGAGCCGTGCGGCGCAAGCCGTGTGGCGTAGGCTATGACGTGTGAGCTGTGCGGCGTGGCCTCGAGGTGCAGGCTGTGGGCTGCAAGTTGTGCGATGCAAGCTGCAAGCTGTATTGTGCAGGCTGTGCGGTGTAGGCCATGCGGGGTCAGCTGCGGCGCAGGCCGTGCGGCTGAGCCGACGTCGTGCAAGCTTGGAGCACGGGGCCCCCGAGCGGGGCGGCACGGGCGGCCGCGCGGCGCAAAGCCTCGGCGGCTGCCCCGGGCGCGGGGCACCGACGAGCCGCCCACGGGGCGGCACCGGCGGATCTCGACGGCAGCACGGCGACAGCTCGGGACACCCAGCCAATCACTCCACGCAGGAAAGAATCAGAATCCCGACGTTGCAGGAACTGGTTGGGTGAACGACACACAATGGCCTCCTGCGTGCGGTGCCAACTCTGCAATACGAGCTCAGCGCTCGGGGAGGAGGACGGCGAAGAGGAGGGAAGATGAGGGACAGAAGGAGCGGGAGGAGGGCCGACAGGATGGCCGCGAACCGGCCCGAGGTCCGAGAAAACTGGCTCTCGAAGCTAACTGACCGGACTGAACCGGTGAATGACTCGAGCCAGCCGAACCGAGCTGCGCCACCATGGGACTCGATCCCACCGGACCGAACAGGCTGGCCGAATCGGGCTGGCCTCAGCAAGCCGGAAGAGGGGCCACCACCGCATCCTCATCCGTCTCCCCGCCCCCCCTCCTCATCCTCCTCAATCTCCTCACCCCCGGAAAAAAAACGACGATGAGGACGATAAAGACAAGGACGACGACGACGACGACGACGACGACGACGACGACGGCGAGGATAATAATTAGGGGGCGACAGCGATGACGGCGGCGAGGGGGGGACAACGACGTCGACGAGGAGGACAGGTGGGCAGAAGAGGAGGAGGACGACGAAGAGGAGAAGGAGCCAGGGTGAAAGAGGAGGAGAGGGAGGAGGTGAAGGCGCACGAAGAGCAGGAGGTCGAGGAGGAGCGGACGACGAGAAAGAGGAGGGAGGAGAAAGAGGAAGAGCATAATAATAACGTGTCAAGGATGTGGATGAAGCGTGGACGCTGAGCTGGGAAGCGCGGAACCACGCGGGATCAGCCACCCGCTCAGCAGCGTCACCATCGGAGTCGCTACAGACCGCCTCAACACAGAGAGAAAGAGACAACCCACATTTCCTGGAGGAGGGCTCAAGCAGCTGCACCTCGCCATCATATAACCATCATCCCCGCGGCAGTCCGCCCACCCCTCCGCTACGTCTCGCTGGTCCCCTCCCCTCTTTCCCTTCTTCCTCCTTTTCCCTCGTCCATCCTCCTCCTCCTCCTCCTCCTCCTCCTCCTCGGATTCCTCCACTTCCTCGGATTTGTTCCTCTGCTCTTCTTGGCCGCCGTTTTTCCCTGAAGACGACGACGACGCTGAAGGCGACGCTGGCGACGAGGGCGAGGACGAGGACGAGGACGAGGACGAGGACGACGAGGACGAGGACGACGAGGACGACGACGACGACGACGACGACGACGACGACGACGACGACGACGACGACGACGACGACGACGACGACGACGACGACTACAACTACGACTACGACTAAAACTACGACTACGACTACGACTACGACGACGCCGACGACGGGGACGGCAGCGGGCCTGCATGTCGCAGGCGGAGCAGCTCACGCCCCCCTCGCCGTCGGTGCAGCGGCCCCCGACCCCGCCGCTGTACACCAGCCTGCGCCCCCGGCCCACCATCCGGAGGAGGGGCGCCTCGGACCACATGCCCCTCGGAAGACTCCTCCTCCTCCCTCCTCCTCCTCCTCCTCACTCCTCTCCTCCTCCTCCTCCTCCTCCTCCTCCTCCTCCTCCTCCCTCCTCCTCCTCCTCCCCTCCTCCCTCCTCCCTCCTCCCCTCCTCCCTCCCTCCCTCCTCCCTCCTCCCTCCTACCTCCTCCCTCCTCCCTCCTCCTCCTTCCTCCTCCCTCCTCCTCCTTCCTCCTCCCTCCTCCTCCTCCCTCCTCCCCTTCCTCCTCCTCTCCTCCTTCCTCCTCCTCCCCCTCCTCCGCCTCCTCCTCCTCATCCTCCTCCTCCTCCTCCTCCTCCTCCTCCTCCTCCTCCTCTTCCTGTCTCCCCATCTTCCACCTCAAACGAGACAGCCGTGGCACCCCGCAGAACTATCCCCACAGCTTTCCAGGCCCGCTCGAATCTCATCCTCCATCGTTGCTCCTCCGTCCACCGCCACCCCTGCCACACCCTTGCTCTCCCTCTCCTCGTGCCCCCAATAGGTCCCGAATCTGTCCGTATCCACCGCCTGTCGAGGTCCCCGAAGCTAGATTTAGGTCGGACGTGTCCACCTACAGGCGGATTTTGGACGAAAGACAAAAAGACTTAAGACATGCTCAAACATATTAAGAACAAATGATGGAAACATCGTCCCCAGACTAGTTTGTTACGATGTTTGACTCGTCCCCCTGTCGAGGGACACGCCCGACTTACAGCTAGGTCTCCCAGGCGGTGGTGATGGATCAGCTTCCGCCTGGGGCCTCGTGCCCTTCCCTGGCCCTGCCCCCGCCCACCATCTGCAGCCGTCCCTCGCCGCGCAGTCGCAGGAGAAGTACGCGGTGGCACACTCGAGCTCCTCCGCAGGGGGTGCGACCCAGACTGGCGGTGGCCAGGACGCCCCCCTCCTCCTCCTCCACCTTGTCCTCCTCCTCCTCCTCCTCCTCCTCCTCCACCTCCTCCTCCTCCTCCTCTCCTCCTCCTCCTCCTCCTCTCCTCCTCCCTCCTCCTCCTCCTCCTCCTCCTCCTCCTCCTCCTCTCCTCCTCCTCCTCCTCCTCCTCCTCCTCCTCCTCCTCCTCCTTCCTCCTCCTCCTCCTCCTCCTCCTCCTCCTCCTCCTCCTCCTCCTCCTCCTCCTCCTCCTCATTACAGAAGACACATACGACAAGCGATCTTGCTATAAGAAAGCCCAGGGCACGCTCTTTCTTGACCTTTGGACGTGCCTCCAGGGCTTCTGTGAGATAGAAACCTTTTCCGCGGGGCACCTGCTGGCAAACTGGTTTTCTTCATTGGAGCACTCCTTGGGATGATGATGAGGAAGAGGAGGAAGAGGAGGAGGAGGAGGAGGAGGACGAGGAGGAGGATGAGGAAGAGGAGGAGGGGGAGGCGGAGGAGGAGGAGGAGGGCGACGGCGATCACCTGTAGAAGACAATATGCCCATACTTGAAGGGGTCGGGGCCCGGAGAAGGCAGAAAGGCATGCAAATGACCGGACTCACCGCATCTCCAATCTTTACTACCGGATTTCCGTTTTCCCCCCCACGTCCCGAATGTTTCCATATCTTCCTCGGCATCCACGTTCAGTTGTGTCTGTGTCTTTATTTTCCCTCCTGCGTAATCTCTGCTTCAGCACGGCTCTTGAACCAGCATGCAGCCGAAGAATGGCGGGCACCCCCTGCCAGCGCGCCTCGTCGTGAATCGGGTATAACGGCAGCGCTCCGCGGACCGGGCCTACGCTCTGGCGGAGTCCCTGTCCCCATCCGGCCGCGTGTGTTGAAGAGCCCACAACGGCAGAAACATAAACTTCGGGAGCTCCGAAAGTTTAGGTATGCCGTTTTTGATACGGTGGAGGTGTTGCTCTTCGCTGGTCGCGAAGCCCGTGGGAGAACTCACGCAATTCTGCGTGTCTCGCGCTGGCCGCCCTAAAGGGCCGCCGCTGCACGCGCGCCCGCTGCGGCCGCGCTCGCCTCATGCCCCGCCCGGCCCCTGGCCCGCACCCCCACGACCGCGGCGACGGGCGGCGGGATGCGGGCACCCGCAGGCGCGCTGGCACCCGCGGTCACGACCGAGGCGGCGGTCCTCCTGCTCCTGGCGGGCTGTGCGGCCCCCGCCAGGCTGGCGGCTGCTGTGGGGGCCGCCGCACTCGCCCCTCCTCCAGCCTCCGCCGCGACACCGAGTTTCTCGCTCCAACGCGCCTTCACCACGGCCGTGGGAGCCGTCAGCGCGCCGAAGACCTGCTTGGCGCCAGGGCCAGGCAGCGCGCCCTGCTCGAAGTCGTTGCGAGCCTGGGCCCGGGAGCCCTTCCGAGCCCTCGCCGCGGCCCCCTCACACTCTCCGCGGAGCCCCTTCCAGACCATCTTCGAGGTCCGCGCGTACATGTAGCAGGTCGTGCACACCAGGAACTCCTCGGAGTCGTCGTGCAGCACCCGACCCTGCATCAGGTGGTGCCCACCTGCCAGGGTTCGCTTCCCACGGGCGGTTGCGGCTGTCCACCAACAGCACCGTCAGCACCAGCGGGGGCCGCCTGGATACTGCACGCCACTCGCCTCGTGCCCCCAGCAGCTGCGACTGGCGCTCCCGAGCCGTGCACCACGCCCATCTCGTCGAGCGCCACCTGCGAGGAGGCAGCGGGGCGCTTGCACGAGGGCGGGCCGCCCGAGCTGCGGGGAGGCCCTCCAGCGCTGGAAGCCGCAGCAGCTGCCACCACCGCCAGCCCAGCGGCCGCTGCCGCGCCTGGGGAGCCCCCTGCAGCCGTGCTGGCCTCGGCGAAGTCCCTGGTCTCCTCGCACCTGACTGCCTCCTCGGGCGCGTGGTTAGGGATGCGCCTGGCAGCCACTCCTTCCACGCCATCGCCGGTGTCAAGGTAGACAGAGGCGCCCTCGAACAGCCTCGACCGAGCCAGCCCGAGGTTGAGGTTGTGGAGGTGGGCCGCCCAGTCGCTGCTTGTGTCCGGGGTGCTTCCCCACGTCTCTGGCTGCGCATCCTTAGCCCCCCGTCTGACGCAACACCGTCGCCGACTGCGGCCCCCGAGGCTCGCCCAGAAGGCCGTCAGCCCGACGGGCCGCCTGCCTCTATATCGGCCTCTGCAGAGAACACGCTCAGCGTGGTGGAGAGGCCAGCGGGTCTGGGGCCGCGCTCCCACATCGTCAGCAGCTCCGCCACGCGGTCCGCTCAAGGCTGGCTCCGCAGCAGCAGCAGGCGCGGGTGGAAGCCGTCCCCGCCCAGGGCGGTCTTCGTGGGGAGGGTCCTGGCAACGGCCATCGCCTTGTGCCCCGTGCAGACTGGCACGTCCATGAGCACCAACCATCTCGAAGAAGGGGTGGACTCTCTCGGACTTGCATTCAGCTCGGGCGCACTGGGGGCTCTCATGTCGACCCAGCGCCTCTTCCCTTCCAGCAGTGCCTGGTCCAGGGCTGCCTGCCCAAGCAGTGGTACAGGAGGGGACACTGCATCAGCATCGGCATCCTCGAGCACCAAAGTCTGCTCTGCGTTCTCCTGTCTGTTGACCGCGTGCGCTCCACGACCGCCAGCAGCTGAGGCTTCGGCAACGACCTCCGGCCAGCGCCGCCGCACGAGCTGGGCGTCCGACCTGGCGTGTTTGCCAGAGGGAGCATCTGTGGCACCGCGGAAGAAGCTGCCAGCACTCGTGATTCCTTTCGGTTCGTCCAGCAACAGCCGCATGTTCGCGCCAGGGAGCATGTTGCAGCCCTGCTCGGAAAAGTTCGGCACCAGAACGATGGCGGTCTCCTCCAGGTGCTGCACGCAGGCCTTGCGTCCAGCCGCCGGCGCCAGCGCCGCCGCGCTCACAGGTCACCTGGCGCGCCAGCCTGCCCAGCGAGGTCCAGTGGCACGTGAGCGGGCTGACTAACTATCCTGAGCAACTCGGTGCGCCGCGGGTCATTCGAGTACTTCTAGACCCAGCGAGCCCACGGGAACGTCCACGGAAGGCTAGATCTCGGACGCCTCGATCAGGTGCTGCTGTACCGTGTCGTAGACCTCACGCGCCGCCTCCTCGGGGAGGCCTTGGGCGTCCAGGCGAGGGCTTTTCCTGAGCATCATCTGCGTGGCTGCCTCCGCTCTGGCATTCGCCTCCTCCGTCTCCGACTCCGTCACGGTGAACCTCCGAGGTACCTGCAGCACCCAGGCCTGCGCCAGGGCGTCCAGCTTGACGAAGGTGATGCGAACCGTCGCCTGAGTGTGCGTTGCGACAGGCCGAGGGGCTTCGAACTTGGGCCCCAGCGCGGCTAGAGCGGCCGTGACCTCGAGGTAGGCGCCCTTCTTGCCTTGGCAGGCTGGATGCTCTGAATCCAGGACTGCCCCTCCGACCGCTCGTGGCCACCATGATGCCGACAGCTCCTGGGGCTCCATGTTCCAAACGTCGCCAACGATGCAGGGCTCGTTCAGGCCGTCCAGGAACTCCCGAAAAGTGCCTAACAGCTCCATGTTCGCCTCCGCAAGCCTGGTGGAGTGCTCCTGGAAGGCGTTGACCACCACGATCCCCAGGTCCCCGAAGCCTGCTCTGCGCGCCAGCCAGCGGTGCGAGAGGTCCTCCCAGGCATGCTCGAACCTCTCCTCACCACGAGGCATGGCGGTCCAGCTGCCCTCGCCTGAAGAGATCTCATGGGCCAGCGGCCCCGCACGCATAAGGATACCTTCTATAAGGAAACCAGGGTCTCGCGACCGATGGGCGGCCAAACGTGGGCCGCCCACCTCGCCTTGAAACAATAAAGGATGCGCCAGGGTCTGTGCCCCAGGAAGACGTTCCTTATCCAATGTCGCCGCCGTATTCGACTGTAGCAGCTGCGCGTTGAAGGTTTGGTTGCACGCAAAACACCACAGGTGGCACAACCACATTATGCAAATGCAGAAGTCGCCAGGGAAACGGGGAACACCGCGCAATCCGACCTGCGGCAGGCAAGCTCGTGGAACGGACTGTGCCCTGAACGACGAATCGTTGATGCACCTGCGACTTGCGACTGAAGTTAGGTCGGGCCTGTCCCCCTACAGGCCGATTTTGAACGAAAAAATAAAATTACCCCAAAAATGTTCAAACAAAAAAAACTAAGACATCGTCCCCGGACCTTTTGTTTTACTATTTTTGAATCTTCCTCCTGTAGAGGGACACGCCCGACTTCAGCCAGGAGGAGGGAGGACGAAGGAACGGAGCAGGTCGAGAAGGGGCCAGGGCGTTGTGCGCCGGAGGCCGTGGGGAGAGGAGGCCCCAGGAGGAGGTGGAAGAGGAGGAGGGGGGGAAGGGAGGAGGAGGAAGGAGGAGGAGGAGGAGGAGGCGAGGAGGAGGAGGAGGAGGAGGAGGAGGAGGAGGAGGAGGGAGGAGGAGGAGGAGGAGGGGGGAGGAGGAGGAGGAGGAGGAGGAGGAGGAGGAGGAGGTGGAGGAGGAGGAGGAGGAGGAGGGAGGAGGGGGAGGGGGAGAAGGAGGGGAGGAGGAGGAGGAGGAGAGGAGGAGGAGGAGGAGGAGAGGAGGAAGGGCGGGGTGGCGCCGCTCCGGGCAGCGCCCGGCGCCGTCGGGCGGCGTCGGGCGGACGAGCGCTGCGGGGGGGGGCGGCAGTGCTCGCCCTCCCTCTCCCGCCTTGCTCCCTCTCGCCTCGTCGGGCTCTCGCCCCCATAGGGACCGACCGTCCCGGCATTCCTTTAGTCATACCACGAAATGTTCTCAGAACCCAAAAATGTTCTAAGAACCAAAACAGTGTTCTTAGAACATGAACCCGATGCGTTAGAACAAGACAGTCCTAGCCAGAGATGTTCTAAGAACATTTGGTGGGAATCACAAGAGGTTCTGGGAACATTGTTTGGTGGGGCTATAGGCGAGCCGGGACGCTTCGCCACTGCTTCTACCCCCTGCCCCCCCCCTCCCTTTTTGCAGTGCCAGTGTTAGGTCGGGCGTGTCCCCCTACAGGCGGATGTTGGACGAAAGCCAAGCAATGGCCCAAAAGTATTCAAAGATGGTCAAAAATCGTCGAAAAGTCGTCCCCGGACTATGTTTTGACTAGTTTTGAGTTTTCCTCCTGTAGAGGGACACGCCCGACGTAATGCCAGTGGCGTCGGGCGGGACTTAATGGGGGGCTCATAAACGGAGGGGTTAGAAAAGGTCCCATTTCGTGCCCCTTTCGGGCCCCTCCAGAGCCCCAGGGGGCTCGTTTAGGTACCGTTTGGGTACCTTCTCGAACCACCCTCGCCACCCCCCCGTTTATGACCCCCCATTACGCGGCGCCCATTGGCGAGGGCTCTTGGCCTCTCCGGCTGCAGTGCCGCCCGCCCGCGCACCAGCGAGCGCGCCACCTGGCAGAAGCCGCGCGGCGCACCGTCAGCCCAAGCCTCTCGCCCGTCGTGCTCGTGCTGCTCTCTGCATGGGCAAGCCGATTCGGGCTCGTGCAGGAAATCGGTCCAGGGCTCTCGCGCCACGGGATCGGGCCCGCCTGGAACTCCAATGTAAAACACACCCCAAGAGAAGTTCGGGTGGCGCACGAATGTGTGAAGCGAGAGCAAGAGCGAATAGGCACGGGCGAGGGAACTGCACGGGAAGCGGCCAAGGTTCAAAGGCCAAAGAGGATGGTGCCAAGCGCCAACAGATGTAAGGCTTGAGGGATTGAGGTGCACGGCGAGAAGCGCCAAAGCAGTCTTGTCAATGCTTGTATGTATGTTGTTATCTCTCTATATATCATATAAACAAAAAGGCCAGGCCCCCTCCCTGGGCATCCTCCACCTCGATAAAATCTGGATTCTCGGTACCGCGCTTCCCGGCCTCCCGGGGAGCCCCCCAGAACGCCCAAAGACAGCCCATGTCGACCACAAGAAGCCCCCAGAACGTAAAAGAACTACACAAGACTCTCCCAAGCAACCCCAGATAGCTTTCGGGCGGCTCCCCAGGCTCCCAGGAGGCCTCCAAGAGACCTCCAGAGAGCTCCGAGAGGCCTCCCGAGAGCGCCTGGAGAACCTAAAACGGTCAATTTCCATATGTTTTTGTTCTAGATTATTGGCCTTCTCACCATTTCATGCTTCCAACGCTCCAAGACGGCCAAAGAGGCCCCCAACACCGCCCCAAGACCGCCCAAGAAGCCCCCAAGCCGGCCCCAAGACGGGCCAAGAAGGCCCCAAGACTGCCGAAAAGGCGCCCAGGACAGCTCCAGACCACCCCAGAACAGGCCCAAGATGGGCCCAAGCGAGAGGACTCCGGGACCCCCCAGAGGCCCCAAAGAAGCCCCGACGAGGCCCTAAAACAGCCCAAGAGAGCTTCGAGAGCCGTCCCAAAAGAGCCCGGAAAAAACGGTGGAATCGCTGATTTGTCCGCTGGTCTCTTCTACGTTTTTCGCCTTCGCACGTTTTCCCGCTTCCAACGCTCAGAGACCGATGAACTTGAAAAAAAATGATTTCCAGAGATTTCCTCTCTTTGTTTAACAAAAAAATGCTCCCACCCCCTCCCGGGGGTCCCACACCTGCCCGGAACATCTGCGGCACGCTCCCGGTTCCGCGCGTTCCGGCCCCGGGGGACCCCCCAAACGCCCAAGGACAGCCCAAGGCGACCCCAAGAAGCTTCCAGAACGTAAACAAAAACAGCCCAAGACGCCCCCAAGCAACCCACGATAGCCTTCGGTCAGCTCTCCAGGCTGCCAGAAAGCCTCCAGTAGACCTGAAGCAACGAGAAACGGACAAAAAGGGAATTCCAGAGATCCCCTTTTTTCAAGTTTGGACTCCTACTCCATATCCACTTCCTCCTGCAGCATCAAGACTTCGGGGTCACACGCAAAGTTTTTTCGGGAAAACTGTTGAACTCTCTGACGCTGTCTTGGCACTCTCTTGGATCGTCTTCGTGTCCTCTT